CATGGACAAAGTATTAGTTCATAACTCGATTATTACTTAGAAGTGTTTCCTCGTAAGAGTATAATAGTTTCATATGATTTGCGATCGTAAAAACTTTCGAATAGTTTATAAGCATTTTTAATGTTCATCAATTGAGAACTATTTTCACTTTCATTAAGAAATCGTTGTTATTGAATTTGTTCTTTAGATCTTTTAATATATTGAATAGTTTTTTAAAAAAAAAAAGCTAGTGAAGAGACATAGTTATATTTATGAATGATATCAGAATTTATGTCTCACGAGTAAAGGTTCCCAAGTGATAAATTACTTTCTATCTGAGACTATATTTAATCGATAGTCTAGTGAGTAGGTAAATATCCTTGAATGATTCGAACTAATGAGTGTCTTTCCTATCGAAATTTCGACTGTTTAGTGGATTTTTCCTGTAGAATCTAAGTTTCCCAGTGAATTCATACTTTTGAATTTTGATCTGAAATTTCACCTACGTAAAGACATCGATTAGACTAGTTTGTAGAAAAAAAATTTCTGAGTTTTTTGGTGAAGTATCTTCAAGATATGAATTTTCCAAAATTTAAACACCTTCTCTGATTATTGTAAAAGACATGGATATTTTAAAAAATTCATAGCTTGGAGCGATTTAATCAAAAAGATTCTGAAATTTTTTCTACAAGTTAGTCTAACCGGTGCCTTTTATGTGGACCAAGTTTCAAGTCAAAATTGAAAATTATAATTTCGCTTGAAAACTAGGACTGTACAGGAAAAATCTATTAAAAATTCGATACCTTAACAACAAAAGTCCAGCAGTATGAATCACTCTAGAGTGTTTACTTACTCTCTATACCCTATCGATTAAATATAGTTCCAGCATAAAATCGAATTAATCTCTGAAAACCTTTTCTTGTCAGTTAACAGCAACTTAAATATAAAGGAAAAGTTTTTTTTTTTCAACATGATTGATTTCTTCTTCAATTGAAACAAGTAAATATTTGAGTTAATTGATGAAAAAAATAAGATCCATTAATTTAATTGATCAAATTGTAAAAACATGGCATATTCATTATACATATAAAAGATTTTTTTCCTTTTGTTTGTCTTCCAGAATATAGCAAAAATTGTCATACAACTAATAAAAAGTGAGTTTTTGCTTTAAGTAGACCGGTTTTTTTCATCAATTTGATTTTTTTTCAACTATTGATGGGGTAATTCACTTAGTTTGTTTTCTAAAAATTTTCAATTTCTAGGCTTTTGATGGTGACGGTATTTTAACAAAAAGCATAGTAGTGATAAAAATTAATTATTTTTGTTTCAAAAACAAAATCAATATATATATAGAATTTATATTTCACCGAATTTCTACTTCTTTTTTTGATGAATTCAAATTTGTATATTTACAGAGAATGTCTTGGGAAATTCGGTGATATACTCGGTAAAGATGTATGGGATGCAATTAATTCCGTTTTCGATACACTTCCACTTGCTGCAGTAATCGATGATAAAGTATGTTAAATTTTTTATGAAAAAAAAACAAGTTTCTATGCTAAAATTATTTTCATAATTTAGATTTTATGTTTACATGGTGGTATTCCAAGTCCTATTACATGTCCAGGTGAATTTATTTCAATGGTTAATGATATACCTATACCATTGAGTGATCCAGAAATTGAATCACCTTTAGCATGGGAAATAATGTGGAATGATCCATTTTCAATTGAAACAAATATAATGGCGCAAATACCAAATGGTGCTACTAATGGATTTTTTAATAATACAAGACGAAGTACAGGAAATTATTTTACTAATGAAGCATTGACGGCATTTCTTGAGAAAAATAATTTTACACATGTTGTTCGTGCTCATGAAGTACAACAAGCAGGTTTTAAAGTAAATCAAATTTTCTATATTTGAATATACTTAGAGTATATCAAAAGTAGTAACGGAAATATTTCAATTTCTTATAAAAAGTTTAAAGACATATTCTCTCTATATATAGTCTTATAGTAAAAACAATGCTATTAAATCGCTTGCATTGTATAAGAGATATTAATGTTACCTATTTCGACGAATTTTTGGAACATCCAATATATTTCTGTGATATTTGATCGTTCTTGAACTAATATCATAATAATAAAATTTCGATAAGATGTGTATCTTTTTCTTCTTTTTTTCTCGTCTTCTCTAATGTCTAGTTGTCTGTACATATTAGGATAAAGAAAAAACGGATAACATTTAATGAAATAAAGACTTGATGAACTTGTAACTCTTATTAAAATTTTATTATTATAATATTAGTTGAAGGATGATTAAATATCAGAGAAATGTCGAGCATTGTTTTTACTATGACATCATATAGAGAGAAAGTTTATTTAAACTTTTTTTTTTTTTTATAAAGAATTAAAATACCTTCACCATCCATAGAATAGAAAAAAATTGGCGAAAAATAGTGTAAATTACCAAATTTTCAGAAGATGAAGGAATTCGATGCTAATAGCATTCAAAAAACTCCAGAAAAAGACAAAATTAATGAGGGTAGCTTTTTTGAGATATTAAATTCTATCTCCACCTTTCTCAGAAGGTGTGAGTATAATTCATGCTATAGAATATCTCTTTCATAGAAGGTATTTGAATACTACTAAAATTGACTATGAAAACTTTTTTTCTGAAAAAAAGTCAATGTTAATGCTATTAGCACAAAAATTCCGTATATAACCTCGAAATTTTCGTACAGAAAAATGATGACGGAAATTAGTAACATGTCATATCTGATAACAAAACGGATATTTTTTTTTTGATGTATTTCAAAATCATTGATGAGTATTATTACATACGGGTTAGGACATTTGCTCACATGTATATGAGTGCGGGATAGAGACGTGCATTGTGATTGGAAATCTGTCGCTGCTGCAACGATGTGAACTATATAAAAAGTCGCTGTTGTTGAGATGATTTTTGAGAAGCACTTCGAAAATCTCTTCCGCCACTGTTCTGAATTAGCACAAGTAGACTGAATCCATCAGAATCACCACGGTTCTGACTGTTGGACTTGTAGACACTCAAATCAGATATAAATCCATGCAATTTTACAATCTCTCTAAAAATAAAGCTGCCGCACCATTGCCTACGATAGTATTTTTGAAACATTTTCTGTGCTGCGGTATTTTTTAAAGTACTGCTACCGCATCTCTCACACTCATGAGCAACTCTTCGGTTCCCGACTTTCATTTTTATGAAATAACCAAAGTCATGGCATTTTTTTCACGGTAATTTCCAAAATAGTTATTTAAATGAAATTCTTTTATTTCCTGGGCAATACTCTTGATATGTCCTAAGTACTTTTATTTTTCTATATAATCTATATAGGTACAATCAAGTGGTCGTCTTCTAACAGTTTTTTCATCATCACGTTATTGTGGTGGTACAAATGATGCTGCAGCTGTTCTTGTTGATTCATCAAAATTACGATTAATTAGACTTCATACAGTATAAAAATGAATTTTCATTAACTTTTGATTTTTTTTTCTGTTTTTTTTATATTTTTTTAATCTCTATAGTTTAAGAATATATTTTTCTTTTTTTTTTGTTAGTAGTCAGCATGGTCTGTCTGATAAAATCATTGTGTACTAACGAGAAACAATTCATTCTATACTCATGCTTATCTAACACTATTCATATCCGTTTGTGTATATCTATGTACTTTTTTAAATTATAAACACTTACATATCTGTATCAAAATGGATATGCAAAATGAAATTTAAACAAGATAATAAAATAATTTATATAAGATATTTATTATATTGTTTGATAAAAGATAAAATTTGAATTTCATGATGGAGCTAAAATTTTGTAGATTAAATAAACATAAATTACAAAAATTATTTTTAAAAACTTGAGAGATTAGGATTATTGTCATTATCTAAAGATAATCTGTCTATATAGGATTCATTTTAATGAAGAAAGATTCCGATGTGTTCAACACTAAAAAAGAAATTGATTCAAATATTTCAGTAAGGAAACTTAATCACAATAATTTAAATTTTAACCATACCGATAAAGTTATTCGGATTTCATAGATTCATGTATAATCTTCAATTATATTTAGAAATCTTTTTTTACGTTCTGCATCGTACATTTTTCTTTTATCAATTTGAACTGAATGACTATAAGATTTCATGTACAATAAGTATCTCTTTACGCACTTATTATTAAAAAAAAGTTGATTGTAAATACTAAAAATATTTCAATATCAGAAGGATGATGCTCGAATAATGCTTTTAAGTGTCATTAGGTAGAAATGTTTCTTTAGCTCTTCTTAAAGTCTTAAGATTAAGAAGCTTTATTTATTCAAATTTCTTGATAAATATCGTATTGTAATTTTGTCATGAAACAAAGAACGTCTGACATGACCGTTCTTCTCCACAATGGAAGGCTCTTAATTAATGATTCAGGGAGTGGATGTAGGTATGATTCGGGAGTAGAAACCCATACCTACGCCCATATCAAGGATCTTATATTGCAGGATGAGGTGTAGGGTTATGGAGACTTTCTCTCATATATGAAATGGAAAATAAATGAAAGAATTAAAAGTATTTGAATCCTTCTGATTCCCATTTTTGAAGTTATCCTCAATCACTGAGTTGATTGATTTCAAATGATTACGTCCACAAGGGTCGGGAGAGCGCTCCTTCGCTCAATCTTGAAAAATTTTCATTTTTGACTAGCGGAGTTCCGGCTTTCTATTGTTTTTCCTGCTCACCAACTTGTAAAAACGTCCTACCTCGCTTCCCAAAATCCGGCCGACTTTAGCAAAAATTTACAATGTGTGACGTGGAAGGAAGACAGAGTGTTGCTAAAGCGTCTGTCACAGTCTCTGACTAACGTCCATCACGTCCTGTAATGGTCTCTAATTTTTTTAAGATCGTGTTTCACAAAATAGTTTATATCTACAACTAAATTGATTACAAAAAAATGTTTCTGTTTTTTGTTCCAATCAATGTCAAACTGTTTTAGCTATGTCTTGTCAAAGGTATTCGTCTTTGTGAAGAACGTCGAAGAATATGATTAGTTTTAATTTTTGTTAAAAATTGTTTTTGAAATTGTTGTGAAGCACGACAAAATAAATACAAACTAATATCAAAATAAACTGAACTCCACATAAGAAGTAATGATCGTGTTAATGAATATGATAAATTATTTTTCGTTGTTTCATAGCCATAATAAACAGCATAAATATTAAATGGTAGTTGTGTTACTATATATATGTAATAATATTTATTATAACCATTAATACTAATACACGATCAGTAGGTATGTTTTGCCGTCGATCATTATTAATTGTACTAGTTGGTTTTGATATTGGAACAGCAATAGTCGCAAGTGTTTGATTTTGTGTTATCATTTATTGAGCAGCACGTCTACGTGATTGTCCAATATTATAAACCATTCGACAACCACATGCAATCATAATACCAGTTGGTATAACACAAATAAAAGTAAAATATATTGGTGGCATAACATAAACAGCTAATATAAGAAAAGTACCATTAAAATTAAATGTACAAAAACCTTCACTATCAAATGTATTTAATGAATGAAAGAAAAATGTATCAAGTAATATTGAAAATAATAAATAAATAATTGAAAGTTTAAAAACATTTTTTGATGTACACCATCGACGTGATCATACAAGATATTCTGAACGTAGAAAAGGATCTACTGTTGTTGCTAAAAATGAACATATTGTACGTGTTGTATTTTGTAACCATAAAATAAATTGACACTGAAATATACCGGATGGAAAAAATTTGAATAAAAAATAGACTATCAATAAATTCAAAAATTAAAGATAATAAATGAATTATATTGGTTATATGAGGTAAAAGAAAAAGTAGACCTGTTGATATTTGACGTAATTCTTTCTGTATAAAAAGTAGTGATGCAAAAATTTTCCGAAAAATCTAGTAATATAAGTACGTGTTTCTATAACAGCAGTACTAATACGTAAAGCATCCATTGCTTTTGATGATGATAAAACTCGAGTTATTTTTAATGATTGTGCTCACTCGTTTTTTTTGTTCTCTATACATGTTATAATTATTTTTTATAGCATTTATTTATATATAGGCCATTATTTTAATAAAAAGTAATGATGTGGATTATCTCTTTGCAAAGATAATGTATAGATGCTGACGTCATCCTCTTTAAGAAAAAATAAAGAGAAAAATATTCCTCTGGTATATTTTGATCAAATGATTATTCTAATTGAAATTTTCGTTGGGAATCATCCATGAAGGGCATTCAGATAATGGAGGAAGGGAGCCAAACATTTCTGGACGTCTAGACACTTACTTTGGATATGTTCCTTCTTTTTTTTACATATAACTTTCAGTGAAGTTTTGAAGCTGACTTTGTTTCGAAGAGCATCCTTAAATAGAAAATGAAATGAATGAATCATCTGAATATATGAATATTTGTGTTGAATTATTCAAGATTATGCTACATAAGCAGATAGTTATTTTGTGGAGTATTTATATGAGGTTTTTGAACGCTTTTAGTGTTGAACTTCATTTTTTGTTTTTACTACATTCTGCTCATTAAAATGCAATGTATTTAAAATACAAAAAACTGTGCAATAGGTTAGATTTTTGTTTGTTGTTTATGAAATGCCTGTTGCTTCATTTCTGTTTTTGATATATTTATTTAATAGAAAAAGAAGGAGTATATTTAAACAAGAAGGCTTTTATGAACTTTTTATACCGAAGTTCGAGCCTGTCGGATTGGTTCTAGACTCAGTCCGGTCCAGGTCTATAATTTTTCTGTTAAGCAGGTTCGAAAATTTTGAACCCGGCAGACTCTACTGCATGCCCAGAAGGGGAGAGGAGGTCGATAAAATTGGACAGGGCAGAGGAGGAAGGTCGAAAAATGCGATTTTCATCTAGACGTTCTGTATGAATGACCACTTATGATTATCTTACAAAATGAATCTTAGGCATAGAACACGATGACTTTATAAATTATGGCCAATGCCCCTCCAATCCGTAGAATAAGGCAATTTTCATCAAAACAATGAAAGTATGTGAAGATAGCCCGAAGTTTGATTTTTCATAATTGGCAGCTCGTTTCTTTTAACAATTTTAGATGAAATACGTCATTTTCTACTTGAAAATATGATTTTTTTTAGAGAAGTGACAAGTATTTTTCGCTTTTTTTCTGTTAACCCTTTCTTGCCTTTTGGTCCCTATAGTGTCTATTTTATAAAAATTTGATTTCCTGGAACTATGAGATATTTGGAAACAGATTTTATATTCAAATTGTTGATTTGAAGTCTACAATAGATAGACTTTACATTGATATAGAATCTGTTTCTGAATATCTCATAGGTCAAGGAAACCAAATTTTTATAAAATGGTCCTGATAGTAACCAAAAGGCAAGAAAGGGTTAAGAAAACATTAGAATCTTGATTTTTCTTTTAAAAGATGCGCTGTGAATAGCTCTCCAAAAACTGTAAGAACAAATTTCTATTGACTTGCTCTGATGGTATCTCCGATACTCAAAATGAACAAATCATACGATAATGCTATGTCTCATCTTCTGTACCATCCAAAAAAATATTTCGAAGGCTTTTTTATTTTGTAAATATCTCGGCTTGGAAAAATCATAGTACCTTGGTTTTTTCAGAAAATGCACCGTCGAAGGCCTACAAAAATTGTATGAACAAATTCCTATTGCAAAGCAAAATAGCCTTCGAAATATTTTTTCTATGCGTAATACGATGGAACATAGCACCATCGTGTGACCTATTCATTTTGAATATTGGAGACACCATCATAACAAGTCAATAGAGATTTGTCTTTATAATTTTTATAGAGCTTTTTACAGTGCATCTTTTTAAAAAAAGTCAAGGTTGTATTGATCGTTTATGAGTGAGATATTCTCAAAATACTAAATGTTGCCATTATTATGCCGCACCCAGTAGATCAAGGGGAATAAGGATAGAGTTAAGCGAGATAAGTGTAGATATAAGGGGTTAAGGGTAGAATTAAGGATAAGTATAGAATTTAGGATGAGGTATAGAAATAAAGGTTAGATAGAGGAAGAAAAAATTAGATTTTGAAATATGTTTTGGTCAGGTATTTATCATTGAGGTGATATCGTATGGGAGATCGTACGAAACCATGAGTACGCAACCTTTTGTTTAACTGAGAAAAAAGGGTTTTATATGAAACCTGGAGCACAAAACCTTTTTTCAAGCTAACTAAAAAATAGTTGTGTATGAAACTTTTTTCGTACGAAGCTAAAAAACTGTTTCGAATTCGTTACAAATGATGAAACCTTTTCTTAGTTTCGTATGATACCTTTTTTTCGGTGTAGGATTTGGATATGGTAACAGAATGTTTTTCACATCACCTACCCGGGCGGAATCCAATGTCCTTATTTCATATTAGACGCATTTGAGAAAAGCTAAAACTTTCAGAATAAACCACTCATTAATATTTATCTCTGTGCAAAGTTTGAAGTTGAAATTCGAAAATAAGTTTTTCTCTTGTTCCTATGAGGACTACAGCATTCACCTAAACAAAAACTGTAAAAATGCAGTATCTCAACAACAAACTATGGTCTCGAAATTTTTTCACATTAGTCATTACTCGTTATTTCGTACATTATGCTCACAGTGCCGACATAAAAGGGGACAAATACACTTATCGACCTCCTCCTCATGTAATGGGTGGACCAGAATCAATGCCTTCGTTTCGTATTTTATTTTATCATCATCTAATACGTTATATCAAAAAACGAAATACATCAAACGATGCACTGTGAAATGCTCTATAATTTATATAAGATCGCTTATTTTATGGTTACATTTTTTGTTTTTACAAAAGGACAAAATTTTGACCGACCAAATTTTGACTGTGTCCGAAAAAGATAATTTTTTGCTACACGACGAATTCATTTTTTTGTTATTTCATGATTTTATCACTTGATATGCTTTATTAAAAGAAAAACAAAACATACTACAAGATTCAGCGTAAAAAGCTTAGTAATCTATAAAATAAAGCTTATTTTATTTGTGTACTTTTTGTTGTCAAAAAATGCAAAATTCTCTACGACAAATTTTCGAACGATCGAAATTCACTCGCTAAAAGTTTTGTCCATTTTCGAAACAAAAAGTGTAATCTTAAGATAAGTAGTCTCATGTAAATTGTAGAAAATTTGACGCTACATCTTATCGTGTACTTTGTTTTTTAATAGGCAAATTTTAAATTTGCCTGAATTCTAATTTTGCTGGCAACATATATTTATAATCGTTCGTTCTGTTTGACCGATATCATCAATGAAAACAATGATGTATTTTTCTTTAGTCTAATGATATGAATAAAGAATGAATGAACCAATGCCATTATTTCTTTTGCTTTTATTCTACTGCTTTTTGTGAAACACGATCTGAAAAGAGTGTTGAAATGTATAGGGTAGAAATTTTGGACCCACTCCCCCCCCCCCCTCTCAACAGACCATGACAGAGAACCCCGGAGATCATCACAAATCGAGACAGAGAACTCTCAGAGACTATCGCAGACCGTGACAGAGAATCCTGAGAGACCATCACAGACTGTGACAGAAATTGTAGTTTTGAAGCATCAAATAAACGGTAAGCAACAAATGTATCTTGAAGAAATGAAATAAAACAATGTCCATTTAATTAGTAACAATAGGTCCATCGTGTTTCACATTTTTAATCCTGCATGGAATTGTGCTAACAGGCTTTTCTTGGGAGCCAAACAAACTGAAAGGGGTCAAACAGGCTGAAAAAATGAATTAACGTTAAGTTGAATTAAGCAACGTGGTTGGTCTATTCCAACTTAAATCGCCTATTCTAGACGATTTATTCGTTAAAGTCCCAATCACACCGACTAATCCAAAGTGAATTAAAACAGAATTAACGAATAAATCGTCTCAAAAAGACGATTTAAGTCGGAATAGACCAATCACGTCGCTTAACTTGTTTTATTTTTTCCAGTGTGATTGATCCCTAATTCAGTTTTAATTCGTCTTATTTACTCTATCTGTTTGAGACCTTAGTGAACATGAGAGATGTTAACGGGTTGACCAATGAGCACTCGTCCAAGTTATCATTCTTCATTTCAAGGTAAAGAAGGTATTGATGGCTTAATGGTATATAATCGATCACATACATCATGGATGAATGTTCTATTAATAATTCATTGATTTTTATTTTGTTTTTCATCATTACCAGCAACAATTGTACATTGGTCGATATCAGATGTACTTTTATCCTGTTGAACAAGTGTTGTTATATTAACTGATTGTTCATTAAATTTTTATGTTTATTGTTTCAGTGGAAAATCATTTCGAAATGAAATACACAAATTGTTTTA